ATCATCAGGATGCATGAATACCTGGTGGTAGCCTCTGAATGCATCCATGAAGCTGAGCAGCTCGCAGCCCGCCGTTTCATCCACGAGCAAGTCGATCCTCGGTACTGGATACGGATCCATCGGGCAGGCCTTGTTGAGGTCCGAGTAGTCAACGCACATCCGCCACGTGTCGCCCTTCGGGGCTAACACTACGTTGGCCAACCACTCCACGTGGATGACCGGCCGGATGTGCTTGATGTTGAGGAGCGTAGCCGCCTCTCTTTTGATGAACTCTCGCCGTTCGGCTGCCATGTATCTCTTCTTCTGCTGTACGGGTCTGGCATCCGGCCGTACGGCGAGTCTGTGGTAGATGAGGTTGGGGTCTATCCCGGGCATGTCCTCCGGCCCTCTGGCAAATAGGACTTTGAACTTCCGGAGGACAGCTATGACCCCTTCCTTGATCTTAGGTTCGAGGTCGGCGCCGATGGACACCTTCCTGTCCGAGGGGTCATCCAGCTCCACTTCCTCGAGCAGGGCAGCAGGTTCCAGACGAGCGTCGAAGTCAGCCTGCCTGGCTTTCTCAGTGATGCTGTTGACCCGTGCTTCTCGCTCTCTGAACCTCTCCATGGCCTTGGTGTAGCAGGCCCTGGCCATGTGCGGATCCGTGCGGGCGACCCCCACCCCTGTCTCGGTGGGGAATTTGATGCATGAGTGCCGCACGGAGCAGATGGCCTCAAGATCCTCCAAGCCGGCCCGGCCCAAAATTGCGTTGTGAGCACATTTTAGGCGGACCACGACGAACGTCATCCGGATGCGGGTGGTGTGAGGTCCATCCCCGATCTCAACGGGGAGGCCGATGGTACCCTCCGCATCGATGCAGTCCCCTGTGAAGCCAGAAAGAGGGGTACGTAGGGGGGCCAGCTGGTCCTTCCTCAACTTCATTCCCTCGAATGCCTCCCAGTAGAGGACGTTCACGCTGCTGCCCGTATCAACAAGGACGCGTCGGACGATCGCATTGTTGACATCCATGCTGATCACCAACTCATCCCTGTGGGGGGCCGGTGACATCGGCAGGTCGGCCGGCCCAAAGGTGATGGCCCCTACCTTGTTCTTTTTGGCGGGGGGGTGCCGACATGGAGCCCACATAGAGGGACCTCTCAAACTTCTTTCGTTCCGCAGGCGTGTCCCCAGTCTCTGCGCCCCCGAAGATTACTTTGATCTCCAGCTTCTTCTTTCCGCCGTCCGGGCCGAGGGACCCCTCCGGACGTTTATCAGCACTCCGATAGTCTACGTCCTTTGGTTCCGCCTCGCGCCGATCGTCGCGGCGCCATGATCGCGATCTCAGGTTCGGCTGCCTCGGGCTATTCTTCTTCAGTAGTTGGGTGAACTCGCCCAGGTAGCCCTGCCGGACCAGCTCGTCGATGGCCATTCTCAGCTGTCTGCAGTTGTCGGTGAGGTGGCCGACCCTCTGGTGGTACTCGCAATATGCGGTCTCATCGTGACCCATAAGGGCCTTCTTGTCTTGGGGCTCCCTTAGGATCCCCTTGTCTTTGATTGCGTCAAAAATCTGACTGACGGGGTAGGCCAGAGGGACGTGATATTCCTCCGGTCGTACGCGGCTGGCCTCCGGATGAGCCTTCCATGGGACCATGCCGCCGTCCGTCTTCTTCTTTTTGCTCGGGGGGGATGGCCCGCCTCCGGGACCGAGCCTATCCGCCAATTTCCGGGAGGGGGCGGCAGGCGTGCCGTCCCTCATTCTGATCTCCTCCTCAATGGAGGCGTACTTCTGTGCCCGAGCCAGCACCTCGGTATAGCTGGTGCTGGGGTTCCTCCGAAGGTCCCGGTACAGGTCCCCTGTTGCTAGAGCGCTGGTGAACATGTTCACCCCCAGCCGCTCGTCCAGGTCATCCACCTGAAGCACTTCATCTCTCCACCTAACCAGGAATTGGGCCAGAGGTTCGTCCTTCCCCTGCTTCACACTTGTGAGCGATGTGAAGCTCTTCTTGGGGGTGGTGCTGGCAGCGAATTGTGCCATGAACTGCTGGGACAGCTGTTCGTAATTATCAATGGATCCGGGCCTCAGCTGCCCGAACCATTCTTGCGTCGGACCCCTCAGGGTGCTGAAGAAGAGCCGGCAGATGGCCTCATCAGATGCCCCCAGTATAGAGAGGTTCCCCTGGAAGCTGATCAGGTGAGCCTTAGGATCTCCGGTCCCGTTGTATACTATTCCCTGAGGGGGTCTGCAGTCCCGCGAAATCTCCGCATTCATGACCCTCGGGGTGAAAGGTGAAGTGAGGGAAAAACGCGGCGTGGCTGGGGTGGCCTCCGCCCGTCTATCCATCGCAGCTAATCGCCGCTCCATTGCCTCTAGCCGGGCCTCCTGTGCGGCCCTTCCGGGGGACACAGGAGGGGCGGCCTCGAGCGCAACGTTCCTTCGTGGGGCAACCGCGTCGGGTTGCCTTCGTGTGATGTGGGCGCCATGTCTTTGGAAACGTCGTCCAATGTTACTGGCGGCGGGGGTAATGACAGTGCCCCGCTGTTCGGAAGGAACATCCAGCGTGCGTCCCCGGTGGTCATCTTGCCAACCATAGCGGGGTGTGCTGGCGCTGGTGTGCTCCCCAGCTCCATGGGAAGACAGATTCTGGCCCAACCTCATGTGGATGGGTGTCCGGCGCCCGGCAGATTCCGCTGTCTCATCCAGGGTCTGCATGCGGTGGACAGGCGATATGGGCGTCCAGATGGTGTTGGCTGAATGCACCTCTTCGTTCGCCTCCTGTTCATCCGCCATTCGGCGCATTGTTTCCGCCAGTTCCCTCATGAGTCGAGGGTCATGCCTGGCTTCATGGGGGATGAGGTTTGTGAGGCCACCCTCACCCCTAGTCGTCCCCAACGTCTCGGAGCGTTCCGTGGTTTGCCCGCGGTTGCTTCGTCCGCGGGACAACTGCTCGGAGAGATCGCGTTGGCGGTCGTTTCCTGTCATCGTGCTTGCTCTGGGCAGATTTAGTAGCTGTTTGGGGAGAGTTTTTTGGAAACTTTTAGTTCAGTTTCCCACAGACGGCGCCAGTGTTGAGGTTTATTCCTTCAACCTTCAGGCCCAACACGTAAGCCTAAAGATTTCGAGCGGAGTGCGTGCGAATAACTAGCCCAACAAGCAGATGATAAGGGTCAAGAAACAATAAGGTAGCAAGTAAGTGATTAGGTATTATTATCTCTTAATAACTCCCTAATACAATACTTTCGCTAAGGCTCCGTCGGCCGTTCGTCTCACAAGGCAGTAGAAGTGCTGCGAGTAAGAACGCTATAGCTAGTGCTAAGAATAGAAAGTTGCCAACCCTTTACAATGAAATAAATGCTTCTATTTATACCCGCCAATGGGCAGGTGGCTATGCTGACGTGGAGGCCTGCGGACCGCTTGTGTCCCAACCACCAAATCTTCTGCATTAAATGCACTTCCCGCCAGAATCTAGGTTTCCCGCCTAAATAATGGGGACGTTCGTCCGCCAGGGGTGAGTTGGGTCACTCCAAGTGACCTTCAGGAGACTTCGGCTGTTCGTCCCCTGACCTTGTGGATTCTCTCCATGTGGACTGGATCTCTTCCGACGATCATGGGCCTGCCCAGGAGACGTGCGTCCGATAGAAAAAGGGGGTTAATGGGCCGGACCTCGGCCTGGGCCATTATCCCAACAACTCTCTTGTAATTAAATTACTTGCCCATGTGGTTAAATTCATTTAAAAAAGTTCCTAAAATTTTCTGTCTCGTGAACTGGATCATTATGATCCACTATCTATAAAGAGGATGTTTATTCTGACAGAACCCCGAACTAAAACGTTCACATGCAATTAAGCATTTCAGGATTTATATGTTTCTGGATGTGTAGACTATATAGTAAACTATCTAATTTATAATAGTAAGAACCTGAGACATGTAAAAGTCCTTCTCAAATAAAAGTTAGTTGAATTTTAGTGTTAACATGCAAACTTTATTTAATTATGGTTTCAAAGAGAACTAATCATAAACTCACATGTTTTTTTAAACTTTGAATTAAATAATATAAAATGAGTTGCACTTTAACATACAGAAGCCAATTAAACTTAATTTCTCTTCAGAATAATGTACATTGGACTCATTATGGATGTTATTTTATAATTTTTCCTTTAAATAAGTTTATGTTATTTGTTGTGTTTTTAAATTAAAGTTGAGCACAAAAACAAATTTGAGAGTAAAAACATGTAGAATACTCTAATGCATAAAAATAAGTTATTTCGTTTCTTATATTGAATATGTACCTTAAAATGACAATGTTTATGTAATTTTAGTGTTTGATACGTAGTACAGAGTATGTAATACTCGCTTTTAAACACGGTAAGCCTGATAAGTCTGTAATAACAAACCTACATAGACACGTTCATTATAATTTACATGGCATCATAGGCGATTTTTAAAAGGGTTTTTAAAGGTTTTTAGCCTATTCTAGTTTTTAAAGATGATTCATATCGATCTATTTGATATTATTGAGTATGATATTATTGAGTATATTAATATGTTTATGTTTATATGAATATGGACTAATTCATGTTTCATGGTGCCCATCTTTCATATTTAAACATCATATTATCATTATTAACTGAATATGGTATAAGAAAAAGATAAAATGTGTTCCATAATTCTTGCATATTTGGGTGAAATTGTATTTTTAGTTAGAACTAATTAGCTGATTTCATAGTTAAAAATCATTTTGTGAATTGTAACTTTGAAAACAAAGACAACTCCATATCATGAAACTCACATATATTGTGTTGGGAACTTTTTTGGTTTTGTTGTTGAATACAAGATATGCATATGCTGGGAGCCTGCTACATCTTTCAACCTTGAACCCTCTGCAACAATTAAGCATAGTGAAGAATTAATCTAATAATTTATTAATGGTTTGAGATGAAGACTCAGAAGAAAAGGTGTAGAAGTTTACTGCTATGCATGCGTACGCCTTAGTTTTGATGGCTTGAATTCATTTATATCGCAGGTATATATAATAATCCATCTGGGTTGAGAGTTGAAACTGCTTTGAGTAACTGTCCTGTAAAAGACGTGCAAGTGGAAATGGAACTGTTCCCACTCTTGGACTTTTCAATTAAACAAAGAACTGCCACGTTGATGCATCTGCGAAAAGCCAGGATAGTTGACCGTGCATGTTGCGACAGAGTTGTTGGGTGTGGATTTAACCATGTTTTGACACGTGTAGCATTGAATGGCCAGATTGCACATGTTGTTCACACGATCCTGCTTTTATATATATAAAGATTAGAATGAACACATAATTATATAGTGGAAAATTGGACAATTATAATTTACTAACAATGTGACACTTCCGCTCAAACATTCGAAAAATTCTCATTCATTAGAAATACCACATATATGTGTGTTTAAAAGGGAGTATTGTTTTATCCTTAGTCAACATTTCAAATACATTTAGATAATTTTACTTTGGAAATTGAGAATTGTACTACGTAACTCACCCCAACAAGACTCAAAATGTATTTAATTGACATTGAAAAGAATAAATAAGACACAAACAAGTATTTAGATTACATGAAAGAAATAAATAAATTAACTACTCAATAAATTCAACCTCTTGATCTCAATAAACGGTTGCATAGAAATTAGAAGTTGTTAAGTTGTGAATTTACATATGATTGCAGAATTCTTGGAGGAAGAAAGCGGAAGACATGAATCGTTGATAGATTTGAAAAGAATGAATGAATAAACCTATTACAGAAGCTAACTATATGTTTATACGAATGGGTTAAAATATTTGAAGAATAAAACAGTCCAATAATATTTGGGCCCAAACTGATTTAGTCCAAATCATTAGTCTTGAGATAAGTTTAAACTTGTAGTTGACGGTGCTTTTTAAAATTAAATGGAGTAGCTTAGGGGCATTTAAACCCATGTAAATAAAAGGTACAATCATCTAATAAAAATGTATAACATCTTATGCTTATAATAGATGAACATAATTCAAGGTACTAACTCACATTCACAATTATAATGCTTTTAGATATTGATCTCACCCTTCTCTGTTAAGAACAAAAAATACTATTCAAAAAAACTGTTTGGTAGAAAAATTATGCACGCAAAAAGTTCAGCGAACTCACGCCTCTAAGTTTCAGAAGCTAAAAATAACTTTTTATTTTGGGACCATAACGGTTATTAAAAAAAGAAAAAAAATGGTCAAATACATTCTCATACAATTTTTGATCCATCACTTAAATCTTTCTACTTAGATATGAAATTAAGAGTATTGATAAATCTTACAAAAATAACATATAAAAAGGAATAAATAATCTCATAATAATATACAAAATAGTATAAATGTAAACTATACAAAATTGTTAAAACATTAAAACAAAATAAAAAAAAAAATCAGAAACTGAAAAAAAATAAAAAGAAAATAAAAAATAAAAAATTTAAAGACTTTTTAAATAGATTTATAATATACAAATAATTTTAAAATTTTAAAAATATTGACTTTGATATTATGAAATTTTCACAATTTTGTATATACTTCTTCATATTTTAACAATTTTTAAAATTTTTAAATATTAAAAATCTGCTATTACAAGTCAAATTGATCAATTTTGTAAAGACGATACTTTTTTAGTACAAGAGCTTAAATGACAGATTGAAAATAATAGAAAGACTTATTTAACCTTTTTTCCTTAAAAATGAGATACTCAACGTGTTGTTATTTGGACTGTTTTCAAATTAGAGCAGACAAGATTAGATTTGAACAATTATAAAATACAGAAAGACCATAAATCTATTACACTAAACCAAACCAATTTAGATTAGATTAGATTAGATTAGATTAGAGCAAATTAGACTTGAATAGTTATAATTAAAATGTATAAAATCATACATCTACCAAACTAGACCAAACCTGGCCATATCAATTTATACCACATCAAATATGACCATACCAGAAAAGTTTGGTCCAATTAAAAATATGTTATTCTTCAATTAATTAGATTTTGTTTATCATCAATTAATTAGAGTTTTAGATTTCTGAATAACCCATTGTATTGTGACTTTTGAAGAAAATTAGTGTCTCTTTGAACTGATTGATTATATAGGAATTTTTCATATTAACGACAAATTTATGTTTCGTTTGGTTCTGATGGCTGATTTGGTCAATAAAAAAAGGCAAAGAAAGAGCTACTAGAGGTATTACACACCACACACGTATACTCTATGGCTCTATGTTTTTTTCACAAATCGCTTGCAGCTGTTAAGATTTGGATATACTCCACCAACGTGTGCTATACTATGGTAGACCGTTTATACTTTATAGTCGCCAAATCTAAAAATTATGATTCATAATCGAGTTTATTATACATATCCCAAACCAAAATATTTGATCATTTAGAAAATTGAACAAAATCGGTTCTGAGCGTCTGATCCAAGGAATTGTGATCCGATTTTATAAGACCAGGACTATGTTTAACCGAGTTTAGTGCACCAAACTCCCTCGTGATATAGAAATTCAACGCATTAGCCCCCGTGATTTGAAAAATGCGTCAAACCCTCTTGTGTTTTACTTAATCATGCACAAAACCCCTTTTATGAATAAATTAAACGATTTGGAAATCACTTTTTCTAATATTGTGATTGAATATGCAAGTAAATATGTCAAAATCTCTAAATCAGACATAAATGTTAATCATTTTTTTTTATTTGACAATGAGATTTGTTTATAGAAGGGATTTTGCGCATAATTAATTAAAACACAAGGAAGTTTGGCGCATTTTTTAAATCACATGGGGCTAATGCGCCGAATTTCTATATTATAGGGGGTTTGGTGCATTAAACCCATGTTTAACCACTAGTTATGTTTCAACTTCAGCCCCTCGTACCCCGTTTGGTAACATTGAAATTGATTGAATCGATTGATTCTGGTGAAATTTGTGAAATTCTAGCTGAAGTGACTCGATTGACGGATATTGTTGACTTATAAAAAAAATTACTCGTATATATAAAAAAATATTAATGAAATTAAAAAGATATACTCCCTCCGTCCCTTATAACTTTGCCAACTTTCCTTTTTTGGATGTCCCATTAACTTTGCCACTTTCCCATTTCAGTAAAGAATTTGTGGTTCCAGTTAATTCTCTCTCCTCTGCACAAACCTCAACCACACAGTTTTTACTTTATTAATCCCCGTGCCGGTCAAACTTGGCAAAGTTATTAGGGACGGAGGGAGTATGAAAAATAACCAAAATAATCATCTACCGTAACTTTATACAGTACAATAAATAAAGTAACCTTAGTCTTATTTTTATTATTATTGCACAATTCAGCACGTGAAATCAAAAGTACGAAAAAATTGACTGATAAGCCGGTAAACAATGTCACCAAACGGCCTCCTTAATTATAATCAAAATCTAATGCTAATAATAAAAAAACAATTGCCACATTGTACAAAATATACGATCGTGATGATATCTTTCCCTAAATACTCCGTATAACATATAATTGTGATTTTTTTATGTGATAGTTGGAGTATTAGCTAAAAACTAAGTACTGGTTTAATTTGATAATGTACACATTAATATTTTGAACGCAAAATTCTTATAGGTAAAATTCAGGCAAACAGTCGCTTTTGTAAAATGCACACACACTTCGTTTAAGCTTATACTCCGGCCGTATGTTTTTCAATTGACACGGTAATTATACTACTCCGTATTTGTATTAACAATGTATAATACTCCGTACTAATTATTTTCTATTTGAAGTTTCAATTGTTAATGTTCAAGGAACTATGTAAAAAAAATGAGAAGTGGTCGTCTCCCTCTCTAGGGTTTGTAACGTTTCCGCTTTCGTCTTAGACGAAGTGCGGCTCCGGGCAAACCGGCAAAGAGAAGGCATCGAAGTATTTTGTGGCGGGTTTCGATCGAGCAAGTAGGGAAGGATCTCTAATGGAGGACATAGTCAATCAATATAACAACATGGCTATTGGATGAGATGGATAGGAGTTGGTCTGCGGTGATGACGAGGTCGGCGAGGATGTGGCGGACGAGCAGCGAACGGTCTTTTCGGTGGTAGGAAACCTATTTATCGATCGAAAGATAAAATTTTTATTTTCAAGGATCTTATGGCCTCTTTGTGACGTTCTAGCAAAGGCGTTTCAATAAAAGAGAGGCAAAATAAGGTATCTTTTCACTCTTTACCGTATTGTGGATATGAGACGTGTATTAGAAAGTGACTGATTCTGCTAATTTATGAAGTTCGTATACCGTGGGATCATCCCACGGTGAGCCTCGTGCTCCCCTTAAAAAACGGCACAGTTTTGCGCATTATAACTTAAAAAAATTTACGCGTGAACAGTACACATGTGTACAGTTCTTTTTTTTTTTTCATTGTCCTGGACAGAATGATGTAACTCACGTGTAAAAAAATGTAACTCACATTGATAAAAAATGTAACTTCAGGCGAGTTGAAATGTAACTTGTCTAAAACATTGATTTCAATGTAAAGAATAAAAAAGAGTCCAATTGCTTATTTACTTTATCTAAATAGTGAATATGTTTTGTTTTTTAATATTAATACCATAAAACATTTTAAAGAAATCATTTTCCCCCAAAAAATCATTTTTTGAAAAAAAAAAACGAATTTCAAAAAGTATTTTTTGTTTCAATAGAAGGAGTTTATTTTGTGATAACCCATGTTATGTAAATCGTGTATATTAAAATGTAACTTCAGGCCAATTGAGATGTAAATCGTGTTAATTGAAGTGTAACTTCTTGAGGTAAATCAAAATGTAAAACTATTAACTAAAATGTAATTTGGTCTAAGTAGTAATGTAAGTTGTGTTAAAGGAAATGTAACTTAAGACATATTGAAATGTAAATTGTGTTTATGGACATGTAACTTAAGACCAATCAAAATGTAAGTTGTCTAATACTCCACATAAGATATATGTATACATTAAAACAAACATTGATCTTGAAGTTTTTAAATTTTCCCCACCTATACGCACTCCACATCTAGATTATTTAGGTTTATTGCTCTTCCCATTACCACACCATTCAAATATTGAAGAAAAAACATCAACACGACAAGTCTGCAACATTCAGAAAGTCAGAAACAACGCATATCTGCTGAATCCAACATCTGAATGTTCTCCTTCGATCTAACTCTGTTTTTGAATCCAACATTGGCGCAACATCAGAAAGCCAGACAATTTATTTCAATGGGCCTAATTGCTACATCGATCCAATTCAACCAATTTTAGGACAGACGATTGCACCAAAGGCAGAGGAGATGACTTCTGGAAACACTCCTTTCTTAACGAAGGGAGAGCGGCGACCGTACTGGAGAATTGGCGGCTGGGCGAGACTCTAA